CTGATCGATGTTCTCACAGATCCATCATTGGTAATGAGTATCAATCAAATTATATTCCGACCGCTCATAGTGAACATCATGTCGGCAAAGTTGTGAAAAAATTATTATACTATAATTACAATTCTAATTTAATTATTTTTTAATTGCTTAACTGGAAAAAAAAATATATATCATATTACAGGACACAAGTAAATGTATAACTTATATTATAAAATTAAATATTTTATTTTTAAAGGGTATTTAAAAATTTAATAGTAATTGTTTTTAAAAATATTTTTTATTGTAAAATATTTTAAAATAATATTTTTTTATTTTAAAAAATTATTAATATCAACTATTAAAATGATTGGAGAACATAAAAAAATTAATTTTTTAAAAATTATTTTTGAAACACGGTATCAAATAGTGTCTTAGTCATGCCTATATCAAGAATCAATTTATTTGTTTAAAACATATATAAACATTTTAATTTATAATTAAAAAAATATTATATTAAAAAAAGCTTCTATATTTATTTTTTTATTAAAAAAATAACCAGGCTTGAAACACAGTACGTGTCACGTAGTTAGCAATAAAAAATCCAGAGTCCATCTATTAGATTCCGCAGTCTAATTTACAGGTATTATTCACCCTGTCCAGGAGTTCTAACCAGCGTAGAGATACACCAGCGCGACCACAGACACATGAACCTTCATTTGCTCGATCGCTACACTAATTCCAATTTATGAATGATTTCCCAAGCATGATTTTTATTTTTTTAAAAGATAAAAAATAAATCATTTCCTTTTGTTGTTGTTTTTTTTTTGATTTACATGGGGTGTCCGGGCCAGCTTACACGCACTACGATTAATCCCCACGGTCCACTGAATATCCTGCAAGCCCAGTGAGTAGGTAAGGTACTGCGAGAGTGACAGACATGCATGGTAAAGTTCGAATCCAGATACAAAAAAAAAGATAAACCTCTCTTATCATTAGACTAGAACCTCACTTGTTTTATTTTTTGAATTGACGAGTGCAGGGACACTTTTGACCAAAAATCAGAATTGACAATGTTGCCTTAAAAAAATAAATTTCGTGACTACACGTGCGGGCCGCGTATATATTGGAACCGTTGCTTTATTGTTGACCATGTTATACTTATAATCACACACAAAAAAAAAAAAAACTTAAACCCTTTTTATTTTTATATTTTAAAAATGTTTTTAACAAATTAATTTTTATTTTTTTATTTTAAATTAATAATTTTTGAGTGTTTCTTAATTATTTTGATATATTGATATTAAAAATAATTTTTTTTAAAAAAAAATATTATCTTAATATTTTTTCAAATAAAAAATATTTTAAAAAATAACTGCAGTCACACTTTAACGAGATGGATTGTACATTTATTCAATACTATGCATTTTTTTCTTTTGAGCTTTTAGTCGGTGAAATTTTTTATATTTTGACCTTTTAGCTTCTTTATTTTACAATTTAATTTTTTAATATTATTTTTATTTATGACTGATCTTGAAAATTTGTTTTCCATGCATGCATATGGGGATCTCAAGGGTTCAAGGAACTGTTACATTGCTTGATTAAGTCTTGATTTTATAAAATAAAATTTAATTTTAGAGATTGAATTTGAAACTTAAAGAAATGTTTGATCGCTTTTTTTTTTTTCAAAATCGATGACTAATTTTCACAATCAAGAGACAAGTTCATGTACTTCTTTTTTGGCCTCACAACTTTTTTTTCTTTCAATTTGATCTTATTATATTAGCTTTTATTTAAGATTTGACTTGGTAACTTGTTTTGATTGCCTTGATATAAGCTCGTGTAATTTTAATGAAAATGTTTTATACTCAGTTGATACTTGATTTTATAAAATAAAATAAAATTTAGCTAATTTAAAAAAACACATTATAAAAAGAAGATTAAAACCAAAACAAGTACAAGGATCAAGATAAACGGACAAGGAAAATAGATTGGTGCCTAACACATGCACTGGCAGGTGCAAGGGTTTTACAATCTTTGAGCGTCGAATGAGGCATTTCACTATTGCGTTACCCTGTGCTCTTTTCAATAGAGCAATGCATGTCAACGGAGGTGTGAAAGTTGGCTTTAATTAGGTTTTTTGTCTCTCCTTCCTCTTTTCTCTCTCATCATCTTAAAAATCATGTTGGCTTTTCAAATTTAAAAGGTGTTCTTTTATTTATTTATTATATCAAATTTAATTATTATTTTTTTATGTTATTTATTTTTTTTTAAATTACTTTTTTATTGATATTTTTTTCACTTTTGGCTCATAGCATTTGGTTTTATTTGGTTTTCATATTAAGTTTGATCCTTGTTTTTTTATTAATATTTGTTTTTATTTTTTTAATTGATTTTTTCTCAATTTTATTATTTGATATCTTATTATATTTTATTTTTATGTTAGATTTGATTCTCATTTTTTCATGTTATTTATCCTTATATCTACCTTAATTCATTTTCTCTCAGAGCTTCTAGGTTTATCATAACAACAATTAAAAAAACATATAGTTGGTCAATAGCATCTCAAACTTCAATTTTATTATTTTATAACCTTTTGTTTTATTTTAATCAGACCCTTATATAGTATAATTAAAAGAAATAAGGCTTTAAAATTATGGATAAAACATAAAATTTAAAGACAACGGACTACAATATAAAACATGAAGAAACTATATGGCTAACCCTATGGTAATGATATTTTTATTTTGGTTCAAAGGTTTAGATTTTTTTTTAATCTATAAACAAAAAAAAAAAGAAAAGAGAAACTCACTAGAAAACGATAAGGTGAGATTAGAAAACGATAAGGTGAAATTAGTTGGTTGACGCTAACTTTAGCCATAATAAAAAAAAAGTTTATCTTTATATTAAGAGGTTCTATTAAATAATATGTATTTTATTATGGTGTTCTTTGTCCTTCACTTTGCCTAGAATATTACATTAGGGCTTGATAAGTTTTAACAATCCAGGTTATTTTTTACTTTTTCCAGCCTATTTTTAGATTATTTGATATCATAACTAAGTTTATATAAGTCTTTAAGGTATTGTGGATAGGAATTAGTTGTAAAATAGATTTTTAGATCTAAAAATCATCTCTTCCAATTTCTTAGTCAATTTTGTGGCGGTTGAATTATAGAAAAAATATGACAAATCATTTGTCGCCGCATACCACATGTCATTTATTTATTTCTTTTTGAAAATTAGAAAGGGAAAATGACTAGACACATGTCCTTTATAAAAGAAAAGGAAAAGTAAAAAACAACAAGACTCAATTGCATGGACATGGGATTTGAGATCAGCACACCTAAACTTTGTGTTTTGGAGGCATAGACATGCTGAGTTGCTTAGGTTAGGCCCTCACGCTTGATTTTTTTTGTTTTATAAATTTAGATATAACTGTACTAAAAAAATTATTGTTTAATTTCACTATCTTTCACAGATAATATTATATGTTTTATGAAAATTTTAGCTTTATTGTTTTTTTTTTCAATTAACACGTGTCTAACACAAAAAAAAAATCATGAATATTTAATTGACATAGAATTTGTTTTTCTTAAAGATTTTGAATGCATTTTTTTTATATAACTTTATCATATCTAAAAATATTTTTTCTTCAACCATATACAAAATCTTGAATTTTTTATTTTAATTTTTATTTTAAAACCATGATGGTTTTTTTTTTTAGAAAACAATGCTTGTAAATTATAAAATGTCCTGATATTATAATAGTTTTGTGAGCATTTTTTTTGTATTATTAAATAAAAAATAATTTCAAAAACATTGATTTTTCCCCTATTATGTTTAGCATTTTGTTGACTAGTCTTAAATTTTTAATTCTTGATTATTTAATTCTATATTCCAGTTGTTTTTTCAAGATATCATAATTTTTTAAAAAATATTTGTTTGATTAATATCATTATTTTTTATTTAATTAAAATAAAAACAACTTATTAATACTAGTTAAGTGTTATATCTCAAATTATTAATTGTTGTAATCTTTTAAAATATATTTATCACAATGAAATATTATATTTTTAAAAAATAAATACAAACACGCAGTGTAACGCGGGGGGATTTTACGTGAAAAGTCTATGGGTGTTTTTTCTTTCTTT